GCGCAAGCGTGCATTTTTATCGATTTCCCTTGACAAAAAGGGCGGACTTATCAGTGAGATTTTAGGGTATATACATTTTTCCATGTTTTTCCACTTTGAGTTGATAATCTTGATGATTTTTGCGGGACTTGTTCATGTTTTTATTTTATTTTTTGTTAATCTTTAGAAGTATTGTGGAAAAACATAGATGCTATAGCTCTTACGTTTCCTCAGTAGAAGATGGCGATTTTTGTTTCTATACCATTTTTTTCAGATTTTTGAGGGTGTTGACTTCCTGCATAGCAATAATATTGTTCATCGTGATTTGAAACCACAAAACATCCTCATCAATCGAGACCAAACCGTCAAGATAGCTGATTTTGGATTGTCTAGGACATACACAACACAGAGCTGCTTCACTACAGTTGTAAGTCACCTCCTAATTTGTCCTTATACGTGACATCGAATGAATTTATATCTTTGCACATTTGAGGTTGTCACGTTGTGGTACAGAAGCCCAGAATTGCTTTTGCAATGTAGTTACAACACTGCTGTTGACATTTGGGCTATTGGTTGCATTGTGAGCGAATTGTACCAAAGAATACCGCTATTTCCTGGACAGACGGAAGCACAGCAGCTCAGCATTATCTTTCAGTGAGTTTTCATCATTTACAAGTACGCCTAACTAATCCCTTCCCTTCTGCATATTTTTTTCTAGAATTGTCATGCCCATTGCGGAGAAACCTCTCATTTTCTTTTCATAATATCATGGAAAATTGGCGCCATCTATCACCGCGATAACCTGAATATCCAAATTTGCATTCTTTGCATCCTGGCTGAACTTTCGTGCGCTAAAATATGCTCATTGGATTCAGTGATTGACGTATTTCAGGAAAATGGGAACGCCTAGAGCGTCACTCTGGCCCCATGATGCAATAGTTGCACGGTCAAATTACCCATCATACCCACCTCAGCCTCTGGAAAAGTGAGTAATTCATTCTGTCTTCTCAAATTCGAATTATTTGAAGTCTTACTTTTGTTACTGCCTAATTTCGAATTATATTCATCTAGGCTGAATCCGCGCCTGCCTTCGGATGCTATACCTGTAATTAGTGGATGTTTAACATTTTCGACCGAGCAACGTCTTACGGCACGCGAAGCGCTTCGTATGCCATATTTTAGCAAAGAAGTCGAGGCTTCGAAACGTAGAAGTAACTGATTTGTTTACTTGATTGTTTTTGTTTTGTTTGGGTTGTTTTGTTCTACTTGTTTATCTTGCCTGCACATCCTGCCGAATTGATTCACTTTTGAACTATCTCTTACTATGTGCCTAACTACTACGTTCAAAATGTGGCTTTCCTACATTGTTGTGTCTTTACTCACTTCAAGCTCAATATCGTAACTCTAACTCTATTCCCGATTCGTTTTCATCGTAAGCTTTCATTCCTTAGGCATCTCAATTTGGCATGACATTCCACGAGTTTATCTGCATGCCTCAGCATTTAATTTTTACCCTCGTAGTGCACTGCGCGGCATTTGTTTGTGAAAATTTGCAATAAAACCTCTAAATTACTTATTTGTTGATTGTTTCGAGATGATTTGGCATCACTGTTATCTTCATACTTTGTCAGTTTTTTCAGTTTTTGTCATCTAAAAATGAATTTCAGATGTCCAAGATTATAGGACTAACTCATCGCTCAATTCTGATACTCAAAGGTACAGACTCGCTCAGTTTGTTGCAAGGTCTGATCACAAATGACGTAAAGTTAGTTCTCCCGATTCTATAATTTTCTTCTCAATGGATTTTCATGCATGGTTTATTATTTTTAGGAAACTATTGCCTTCAACGGGTATCGCTGCTCTTTTCTTGAATACCAAAGGACGAATTGTTGATGATGTCATAATTTCACGTGATAATGAAGATGTCCTTGTTGAGTGTACAGCTTCGAATAGAGGCGATTTAAAAAAGTTTCTGGAAAAGTATCGAATGCGAAAAGCTGTAAGTCAAGGTTTTTTCCTTGAGTTGTTGAGAAAAACCGGTTTACTTCAGGTAGAGATTGTAGAATCAAAAGAGAATGTGTTGTTCTCTACCGAAGAAATGCCGGGTTCAATACTGGACCCAAGATTTCCTTCGCTTGGTAGGCGTGTGTATAGTGAAGACACGGGACAAGAATCTTTAGCTGATTATCACGAAAGGCGAATAAAATATGGATTAGCAGAGGGTTGCGCGGAACTAGCTACTCTCTTGCCATTCCAGGTACATCCCTTTTTTTCAGCGAACACTGGTTTACTATTTGTGTTTTCCTGTTTAGGCGAATGGCGATTTACTCAATATGATCTCTTTCGACAAAGGCTGCTATATTGGACAAGAATTGACCGCGCGAACAGCACATA